GCTATTGACATTAATTATGAAGTAGGAAACGGATCCCATTTTTTTTTCTCTTAGGATTCTTTTTAGTGGCTCATCTCGAGCTCAAAAATAGAAGTTTCGATATAAGTAATATTTTTAATAACTTTTATCGTCATTAGATTATATGTTTCAAACTTAATTGAATAAGTGCTTCATTGTTGAAAAAATATATATAAACTATGATTGGATTATATCATTGCGACGAATTGTCCTAGCACTGTATTAATAAAATAAAATATATTACAAGATGCAACGTGAAAAGCTCTACAGTCTATAAAGCAAAGCTTATTTTTATTGTGTTAATTTTCGTTTTCAAAAGAAGCAAAATTGTAGGTAACCAATTTCCGATGCTATAAAGAAGATAGCTTTTTAGTAAACAAGTGATTCCTTTTCTTCCTACCATCGGAAATTGGCCGCCTAGAATTTTGCTTTTTGTTGAAAACGAAAAGGGTGTGGGTGTGACAAGGGAGAAGGAGCGAGACTTCAGGAATGCATACTTCTCTCGCACTTCTTTATACTTCGCTATACTTTACCATACTTTCGTGATACTTCAGTCGTATTTCACTATACTTTAATTATATCTCATTGATATGGAATCAAAGGTTTGTATCCACTGTTTTACAAAGGTACCAATGAAGATAAAATACTTTTTGATTTCTATGAGTTCTTTAATCGTCACTACATCTGTATAATTTGTGATAGTGTCGATTAATCCCAAATATTAGAAATGCGTTTTATAACATTAACGACACTCTACATAAGATGATCAGAACAGATTTTTGGAATTGCGAACACATCATCATCTGATATTTACAAGGAAAAAAGCAAACTTCTGTACCTCTGAAGCATAGAAGTACCGAGAAACACTAAGAAGAACCAGACAAGCACCTATCCGCCCCGCCCCCCCCCCCTCCCCCCCCCCCCCCCCCCCCCCCTCCACCCTTGAATTTTACCTATAAAGCAGAACAAAAGTACTCTGTGGTTGAGAATTTCGATTGCCGGCACACTTTTGCTCTGTTATTGGGAATTTCTAAAAGCAAACCAATTTTTGTTCTGTTTTACGAACAGAAATACAAAGAGGTACCAAGAAGTAGAGAAGTCTAGGGATCCACCAGTACAGTCGGGTGTGGGTTTAGATGTGTGTATGAATGCTCTCTATATCCACACTCACACTCAGACCCCAGACCCACACCCACTCTATGCTTATTGATTAACGGGTGCAACTAATCATTAAATAGTGCTTGAATTTCAGTACCTATCCATTAAATATATTCATGCAACCTACAACCCTTGCTTGAAAAAATCAACTCCTATATCTCCAATATCTTCTATATTCCCTATATGTCTATATCTCATACGCTATCATTTAATTGAATTTCCGAGGAAACTCTCCGAACACATCTAATCAATATAATTACTGTCAGTTTCACCTTTACACTTGTGAGTTTGAACTTCTGTTTAAGTAAAATCATTATTTTCAATTCGATTTAAATCCATTCATTCAACATTTCACAACTTTCCAAGTAGTGGATGACATTTGATAAAGTCAATAGATTACAATTAAAGGTTAGAAGTAACGCTCGTCGTTACAACTCGCTTGACCTGCGACTGAATCCGATCTAATCATTGTCTATTATTGCTTACTGAATGTTGTTTGGAGAACTATCGCTGAACACATACACACGTACAAATAAACTGCATACTATTAGTAGTAACGATCATTTTATACTTATAAAAAGATCGGACATTCAACTTTTCATTTAAGATTTTCTAAAGTGAATCGTAAGTGATAGATTGCAGTCGGTCATCGGCGATCCTACGGGCCGTCACCCCCCACTCCTCGATTTCCTGTATAATGTAATTATAAATTAAAGTAGTGCTTCATTTTCTTGTTAAAAACGTCTTTTAGTAGTATTGAAGAAACCTATGAAAAATGCATTTAATATTGGCATGTTGCTATCAACTCTGTAGCAAATAAAACAGGTATTTGATTTCAACTACACCCAATCTAGTTCTTTTTCTTAACTAAGACACATTTATTAATCAGAACTGTAAAAAAAATATGTGCAGATCAGATTCATGTACATAACTATTGATCACAAACTGAGAAATACATCATTTGAAGTCACAGATAGAATACTAGTTAGAAGAAAACAAGATTAATATTCTTATTTTTATTATCTATACAGGATTCCAATAGTTCCCATTCGTCAATCACAGAAACGCGTCCAGACGCGTTTAGACATAAAAAATGTTGCACTTGTGACGCGTTATGAAACCAAATCGTGTCGAGTTGCGTTTTGACGCGAAAAATATCTACATGGTTTCTGAAACAATACCTGTAAAATGCTAAGAGTCAACTTTGTATCATCAGTTGATGATAAAATATTTACCACTGAGAATTTTACTCAAATATTTTTGCATTGATCATCATGAATGTTTCTTATTCAAATGATGAAATAAATCACCCTTGATGATATATAAAACTGACGATTGCTAATGTTTTGGAAGAGGAAAAAAAATTACGCATATCCAACTTTACTCATGCTTTCATTTGCAGATAATGTTGCACTTGAAATTGTAACGTCACATTGATGTTAATGATGACAAAGCAAGCATTTTATATATAACAGTTACGTCTTTCTTATCATTTTCTTAGATATTTTTATCATACTATTGCGTGCAAAATACAAAAGGGTTGAAAAATGAGACTAAAGATATTATCATTGCTTTTGATCTTATTTATTAATCAATGTTTATGTCAAAGAGGTTTTCCAACACAATTTCAAGCAACATTGAATATTAGTGGATTATATTCATGGCAAACACCAACTCAAGGTCTCCAACAATTATTATATGATTATGAAAATCTAAGAGTTCGTTTTGATATACAAGGCTGGAGATTGAAACAAAACGAAACTTACATGATTAAATATAAACCTGAAGGTGCTGAAGCAGATTCAGTCAGTAGAAAATAACTCGTTATATAAAAAAAAAACAAATTAACTATAAAGCTTTTTTTTTAGCCAGCTTCACAAGGTTTTACAATATTCAATTTCAATCCTGATTATCCAGAATTTACAAAAGTAGAAAAAAACAAAGAATTTTTCTGGTTTTTCTCTTTAAATAAGATATTATTTTGAAGAACGATTGTTGGTACAGAACAGATCCAATGAATGATATCGGTCCATTTCCTATGAGCTGGTTTTATAATTCAGAAACTCATACTGAAATTCAACTATGGTTTCCATTACCATCAAATCTGACTAATAAGGGTGAAGAATGGATACCTGAAATTCAACAAAATGCAACAGTATGTGTTTTTTTTTCTTGCGATTAGAGTTGGAGAAGTGTATGAGATAAGCAATCTTTACTGATTTCAAATGATGAATAGAACGAATCATGCCTTCTACAGTTAAAGATGGTTGTATATATTTATGTATTTTCTAAAAATACGACGATAGGTTCTTCTGATAGAAGTACTGGCGAGTACAAAGTCACGCACATCTAATTACGAGTAAATGATATATACTACGAAGGCTTTCGTTGTTGTAGAGATATGATTCACCAGAAATATGTGATTTAGAACGATCCGGTATTGGTAAAGTTCCATGCTTAAGTTATTTTGAAACACAAGATAGACCAGTTAAAACCATTCGTGCACGTGCTGCTCATGGTGATTTTGATAGCGATGAGTAAGTGTATATTGTACGATTTTAATGAAAAAAAATAATAACCATGTGTCGATATATAGATATATAAGTACAATTTATTTATTATTTACACATGGTATTCCACCAGAAGCTGAAAGTTTGTTTAATTTACCTAATCAATGGCCCTCCTATTGTGGCAATGCAAACACAGGTAAACTACAGCTTTCAGTCACTTGTCAAACATCACTTTGGTTATTGAATTTTGTTTGTTTTTAGGTTTTACTATAGAACCTTTACATGGATTTGTGGTAACTCCAGATGGTCAAGATCATTTCACATTAACATTACAAACATCACCAGTTCATTCACTAGGTGATCAAGTCAAAGTCGAGTTTAAAGTACAACCAAATTGGTATTACAATGGTACAAGATGTGCTAAATTCAATACGATTGTTTTCGATCGAGAAAATTGGCAAAAACCCCAACAAGTAGATATGTCCTTTATTGATTATGGTTGTTGCACATATGTAGTTACTGCAAAAGGTGGTGGATATGAATGGCAATATGCAGTATCATCATTTGTTGTTTACGCATGTGATGGACAAGCTGGATATGGTTGCAAAGGCAAAGAACCGTGTGGAGCCTAAATATGTTCAAAAACAAGAAGAATCATACATAACATATGTGCACAATAAAAATTATTTTAACTTCATTTAAATCACAAAAAAAAAATTCTTCTTGAGTTGAATGCGGAGCGGTTCGGCTCGGTTAACTAATCTTATAGAGATGTTTAGGTAGCTAAAATCTTAATATGTCATATGGTGTAAGAAATTTTCAGCCATGTCGCCCAATACTATCAATGAAGCAACCATAATGACATATTGTCTCATGAAATTCAGAAATCGAGACGAACATGCAGCATGTCTTCACTCTTCTTGAGTTGCTAAAACGAACCAAATGATATTTCTCAAAAAAGAAACAACTCAAAATCACAAATTAATCAAGAATTGAAATAATCATGTTGTTTGTGAATGAAAGTGGGAATGTAGTTTTTCATTACTAAAGTTATCAGCGTGTGTTCAATTTTTAAACAACGCAAAATATTGACCAAATCGCCTCTTCGAATTCATATTGATATTGACAGAATTGTTGTGATCGGTGTCTAGTTGGAACAAAATATTTGACTCTTTGTTGTTGTTGAATAAAAGAAGTCTATTATTAATTCAGATAAGATAATTGAATATTGTGTGTTGTAATTGGAGAACATGATTTATTATCAGAAACCAGAGGTACAGAATCTACTTGTGTGTCGGAACGCGTGTTTGGGAAAATATTTTGACTCTAAGGAAATTCTTGAAAATGCCGAGATCGGAAAGCTTTTCGAAGAATGTCTTCCTCTACAGAGAAATCATAAACTCAATAAACGATTTTCCTAGTTTATTGGTTCTTTCTTTGTCTCATTTGCATGCACATCATCCGTCTCTGAATGTCTTTTTCCTTTCTCTACCCCATTTTCCTTTCAGCGTTGTTTCTTGTCATTTACTCTTGTTAAACGTTACTGTTTTTGGTATGGGTATGGAGTGTTGTTCTGTTCTTCCTCAACACCCACAGCTACAACAACATTCACACATTAAAAATAGTTGGCCAATGAAAAAATATTGCAATAATCATATTGAAATTACCACTCTATTTTAATAATTTTTCAAATTATCTTTCAGAATAAAAATGCCAAAAGAACACGGTTTTTGTGGGACGAATCTCACGTCAATGTCAATAATAATTCAGAAAATATGTACAAAGGAAAAACTGCAGTGTGGCTGTCCATATGACAATTATGGCCAGGAAGAAGAAATAAACTTTATCCACGTCCATATCCACTGCCATCTAAATCCGACTTTCACATCTGTAGGCTTTGCAAGCTGATCATCATTCAAATCTATCAAATACTGCTCGACGATGGCTGCGATACCACAATCGAACCATGTTTTCTCCATAACTTCCATAATCGTTTTCGTCGACTTATCTGTCTCAGCTAGTTGAGTCATCTGATCGATTCGAATCAGTGATATTTAGATAAAAGAAGTTCTTTTGCTCACCATAATCTCAGATGAGATATTCAATATATGATCGATCAAAGATCAGCATCTTTCTCACTTGTAATTTCGATTTTCATTATCAAACCAAGATTAAGAAGAATTCAAAATGATATAAACTTCAATCAGCAGTATCCGATGATTTTTATGAGTTTCAATTATTGATTCACTATTTCAAATGACGATACATTTAGGGATCGAATTTCGAAATTATCTCATTGTTTTGATTGCTGTTATCGAAATCGTATTGATTAGTTCTTTTTTCAGACATGACGTATCAAGTGAATTCGTTTCATGTGTCGAATATCACATTCTTTGACATAGGTTTCAAACATTCGCCATCGCTGCAATAACAAATATTAATAAAAGAATGAATTTCTCCGATGACAGCTGTTGCCTTCAAAATAAATTTGTTCACTCTTCGTACATACATACTTTAATTGATCGTGTAAAGATATTTGTTATGATTATTGATTAGCCAAGACAGGGAAATACGTAA